GATCCTGCCATATTTGAAAACCAAAATTATACTGATATTATTGCCAAAGCGATGCTGAATCTTGTTAATGAGAATAATATTATTGAAATGTGGGGAATTCTACATGTTACATCAAATGACATATGATATTTTGTAATACTCTTGGATAATAGGTTTCATTTATGCTCGTGTCTTGACTACTGTAACCGTGGAATTATATGTCAACATTTCTTTTAAGTTATGCTATGTACACCAACTGCAACATTTCATATTCAATTAATACAGTCACGATGGTTTAATAAAACTAGCAATAACTCAGAACAAGAACCATTTCTAATTGCACAAAAATTTGAGACAGAACAGTCAGTAAAAATAAGTTGTGGAAATTCAGTTCCTTATCTTAATGCTTTAGTTCAAGATACTATGTATGAAGTGTAAAATAGAAATCGTAAAATTGTAGATGAACGTAAACTATATAGAGAGACATGGGGTAAAGCAAGAGCAGCTTTAATGGTGGCTGTTCGCTGACATAATTACAATTTTATTAAGATCCTTGACAAATATTTGGATGATTGTCAGGAAGAAATATTTTTTAATAGTAATAGCGATAGTAATGATAGTGAGATAGATTCAAATAATGAAGTTGAGTCAGATAGTATATCCAAAAAAGGAATGATAGATCCAAAAGAGTTAGTAAATCCTCGTAAATGTAAAGAAAAAGGATGGCCGAAGGGTACAGATAGAATGCGGCATGCAAATGAGCCACCAAAAAGAGCAAAACGCAAACTACATTGTAAAATTTGTGGAAGTGTTGGTCATAATCGAGCAACTTGTTCTCAAAGACAAAAATAACAGGTATCATCAACTTATGAGATGTCAATAAGTTTATATTATGTAGTTGTCTAGTATTATATGTACGTAGTTATTTTGTGTTGTATATAAATAGCATCAAAGTAAGCCAGAAATGTCATGATTATGTATCTGGTTTCTTTTGGTGTTATGTATTAATTTGCAAACTTTCTAGAATTTAAATTGCACGTAATGCATTTTTTAGTTCTCTAAATAGTAACATTGTATGTTTTGTTTGTAATATTAATGTAAATTGTGATAAAAATTTAGTATGTATAATGAAATATTTCCCAGTACTGCAGTATCGCCTAATAAATGTTGTTCACATGATAACTAAAACATTTCTTAAAGTTTATTGATAACATTTAGACTAGACATTATGAGATTATATAGCACAGCATTTTTTAAGTGATACTAGGTGACAAAAGACAATATTACAAACAGATATATGTACTATGAATACAATGATAGCCAGAATTAAAGTTAGAATTAAGGTTAGGGTAGATATGTTAGCTATTGTTGTGTTCATTAACATATATAAATTTTGTGCCTTCGGGGAGTCTATTATAGTATTCGAATCTTATAGTTTGTGCAATCATGTCGACTATTATTATACTTCAATAATTAATTAGTTAAATTAGCCAGGATGACCTCCAAAATAAGACATAACAATCACTGCATTAATTTCTTGCAGCTTTATTATCGCGAAAAATTTCTAAAATGAATTATGTAACAAAGCAATATACTGCTGATTATTAAGACGTGACTATGGTAATGGCACTTTTGGAAATAAGTATGTATTAATATCACTTATTCGCTAAGCTAATAAGAATAATAATTTATATAAATATCGTATTAGTATAAAGTTTTTATTTCTATTTTGCTGTTATAAAATTTGTGAACAGTACTAATTGTACATATTAATTTGCACTGTCTCTAAGTATGGTTGTTGTTAATGTTGATATTTAATATCATGGATCGTCCAATGTGACAAATAATGCAGATCAATTTTTTACAATATTATTTATATATAACATGTGATGTAAACAATTGTGTAATACACATGATGTTTAATTTTTCACTATGTAAAACTTGTGTCATACCAGGTACTTTAGTCAGTGCATTACAGTAATTAGCCAATGAGATTTTTAGATTATTATGAAAAATACTGTATATTATACTATATACTGTATAAAATATTAATTACTATTTAATATAAAATATATATACTGTATATTATATTAAAAATATAGCACTATAGTGCTATAGCACTACAATGCTATAGCACTATAAAATAAAT